TGTGTTAGTACTATCAGAATGTAATTTAACCAGAACTGTGTGCAAAACATCACAGCAGATTAAAGGGAAGTGATCATCGTGCCACGTCTATTTCGATATGGGTCTCATAGCAACGTATACAAAAGTGTAAAATGCATCGTTTGTTTGCACAAAATTTGAACACTAGCTGCGCAACGACCACCATCCGTTAATTAAACTAGATTGTTGCAGCTGTTTCTAATCTATCTATCACAGTGCATGTGCAAGCAATATATATGTCTCTGTTTAATTAAAGTTTTTCTCAGTTTAAAGCACTGCAAAATGAGGTGATAAAATAGACTGTCTTGTTTATATATTAACTGTATTAAAAGGTTGATGTACATTTGTATGTGTGTTCATTATGTCTTCTATATAAGCTGGTTTAATTTGGTTTTTAATTTTCAATGAACACTAAAAATGGCAGAAAGTTAATTTTGGATATAAATACAACAAATACATGTCCATACATCAACCCCCTTTAAAGGTAGTGACACAAGAAAAATACTCGTATATTGAATTTTTAATCAGGTCATTCTCTATTACACTTAAAAACATAGCAGTGATTTAGATGAATAGGGATGTGTTCATTTTGAGTCATTATTCACTCAATTTATGATAAATGTTGTTAACAACTGATAAGTATAAATTTATCGTGAGTCGAAAATTTTATTAAAAAACAAATTAATCATACATGTATCTCAGATTTGTTATTGACAATCTCCATAAATTAAAGATCTTCAAAGTAATTACATATAACCCAATTTATTGAACACGGTACATGTATAATCATGAACTTGAGCTCTTAAGCAAATAAAGACATTAAAATGTGTTATTCCCCTTATACCTCAGCTTTCTGAAAACAAATTTTCCTGTGTCACTACCATTAATACAGTTATAAGTTTGTTACATGTCGGTGTTGGTATCATATACACTCTACTACATTGGATCATTTGTTATATGGGATAATATTTATTTGTGTCTGACATTATTTCTTTCTTTCTTTTTCTCCCCTCATCACCTGTATTCATCGAGTAGTCCCACTATATGAGCCTAAGTCGGCAGGTGGGTTCACCATTGCACAATGCATTACCATCAACATTAAAACAAAATATGTTAAGGATCTTGTGCTATCTCTGATGATATATTAAATAATAATATTCCTTACTAATGTATAATCATGTTTACTGATTCAGAAAATTGATCGTATTTGTTGTTGTTTTTTTGATATTAATTCCTATTTTAACAACATAACTTAAAACTTAATGGAAATGTGTTCAATATTACCATAAAATGTTAATAATAAATAACAGTATCATCATTCAATCATATTACCATGCCAACCAACTTATTTTCCCCATGATACTTTCTCTGTTCTTTTTTTTTTTTTGCATATTGTCACCATGTCAACCCTTGCATGATCATTTTTGAACTGTGCATGTAACCTTTTTATTCACCCAGGCCCAAGGTTGAACTCTATGTTTAAATTTGACTGTGAGTATTGAAGGGTTCAAAGGAATCATGTACTGACATTGTTATGTAATATGAAAGAACTATTTATTTAAATTTAGAAAAAAAATCTGTGCAACTCTTTAAACAACTCTTGTTAAGAAAGGACCAATTTGTGTAACATTTCAGGCTAATCTATTTTCATTGGGGTAAGTTGGGTAGGTTGGCTGGGGAGTTCTAATATCTCATCACAATGTCATATGATATTAATATAAGTATGCTATGTTTTCTTCCAAGAGTTACTAACACAACCCGTAATAATGTGATTACATTTTTTGTTGTCAAACATGTTTCTATATTATTATTTTGTGTATATAATTTTGCTACTTGTATATACAATATTAATATGAATTCCACCTTGCCTTCTATATTGCTGTTACTCCCACGGTGGAGTGAAATACTTATTATTGTCACTTATATTTAGTTTTTCCTTTCTGCAGCACCAATGTATAGTCACTCACGACGAGCTGCCACGTTGCCGGCAAGTGGACGTACTGCTGTAAGAGGCGACAACAGTATGCTGGTGAGCGACTACAATGATTCTAATAAAACGACTTCGTATGCTGCACGTACGTTACCAGCGTCTGCTCGTAACCAGGGCCGACAAGTTTAATTCAGGCATTTTGAATCATTATTTGAATTGGAAAAGCAATTTAATTTAATTTATGACATTATTATTACCAACTAAATATTGGTGATGCAATCATGCCGAATATATGAATCACTTCCGGGTTACCGGGTGACCTATCCTTGAGAAGAGCAAAGCTCTTTGAACCGACAATGTATTTCATATAATTTACTGGCGTTGAAATTGCAACAATTATTTCTATATGGCTACTCTGTGTATGTGTAAGTCCATTCATACCATTAATAAGTGAACAAATCCATTCGTTCACTACAGTGATTGACCACTGGTCAATAAACACCTGAATAGTTTCTTGTCAATATACTTTTATTTGAAAACAAATGTAATGATAGTAGTTGGTCGTATGTAGAGTATTATTAGTTTTGTTTTGCAGTATAGAGAAATATTTTGTGAAACTGACAAGTCTGTTCTCCTGGAAGTACAAAATACGGTATTGTTGATAGCCAGAAGTCAGATGAGATTTTTCTGTGTATTATATTGTTTATATAGGTACCTTTACGTGTATAAACATGCATGCTATCTTAGAGTAAAAAATTTTACCAGTCAGTGCATAAAAACACAAAAATTAATAAATTAAATTTTGCTTCAGTTTAATCGAATTAATCCCTAATATATAAATATAAATATAAAAAAAAATCATAATTTACATATAGTTTTTCTCTATTTGCTGAAAACAGAGAGTGATTTTGACTAAACTATTACCTAGAATTTATGCATTGTCCAATGTCTTGGTAGGCAATAAACATCTGCATCTGTAAATTGATTGGTTAGTTGAAAATGCCTTCATCTGGAGCACATGGTTCTGATCAAGCCTGTCTATTATATAGCATTTGAATACATTTACATGGCTAATGAGATAAATCAGCCATTGATCCTAGGCAGTTTTAATGTTTGATTTGCATGGATTCTCGGCTTTCAAATACAGGGATTGTTCTTGGAATTATCCAACAGGTTTCATTGTTTTACAGTATGCCCCATAATCTAGAAGACCATTTATATCAAAAATAGGACAGCTTAAAAAAAACAAAAAACTGTTATTCTATGGTGCATCATTTTGCTAGAAATATTTAAAAGAAATTTAATGTCATAAAACCTGAGAAAATACTTTGGAGGTATACAATGTATTTGTTGTATTTTTGCTTGAATTTACAATTTTTTTTAAATTTAACAAGTACAAGGTGCACACCTACTGTATATAAATAGAATATACTAGTGATGTTATGGTCATCAAGGTAATAGGTTTTTTTGATATTAACTTCCACAGTTAGATATCATATAACTTCCATTGACAGGAATACAAATGTAGCTTTTAGTAATTACACTTTGATATTTTATTATCTAACCGATTTAGGCTGGATTTTTTTTCTCAAGCTGATTTAAGCTGCCATTTCAATAAGAATACTAGGCACAAATACAGTTTGCATTTTAAACAGGGACTGTTCTCTATGCTGCAATGGTGTTAGCCTCCATGTTCAGGCAATTTCACCTAATGGTGAAAAATAAAAAATTATTTCTTGAACTCAAATAAAATGTATGAACCACTTTAAATACAACTGGGGATAGCATTTCTTGTGTAGGTACTTATCATTCACATGCCAAGAGTTGCATTATTTGTTGTCTGCATCAACTGTTGTTGACACCTTGTATAGCAATTCTTGTTATCTATGAAATTAGAAAAATACATGCTGCCGCCATTGAGAAGAGATATAGCGACAAATAAAACTTGTTCTCCTCTGTTGTGAATAAAGTCGTGGTTTGGTTATCATACTTTTGAGAATAAAAGTAATAAAATTTTTGGAAAAAGACACACGAATGTTTGCACATAACAAAATTGCACCATGGGAGTAACTGCCATTTTGGATAGTGCTTGATTATTAAAGTTAGTCTAAATATAAATTTTCTTTTTTTGTTCAGTTATTTTTGTAGAGGGTCGCAACTTCCACACATAAACTGACGCCATTGCAGTGTCTTACTCACCGTTTAATTACTTTGTGCTCTAGAACCCGCAATCAATTATGCTTTTCTGCTGCCTCTGAACAGCTGTATAACTGCTGTTTCCAGAAGGTAGCTCGAGTAGTGTTGCCAGTAATCTACTCTCTGATACTTGATGATTCAGGGTTTCTGTAATAGATAGAGATGTCGTTACATCTAAATAATAATATAATTAGTATAAATGTTCCTTTTTATCATCTGTATGATTTCACCCCATATTGTGTGGCACCTTTCCTCTGTACAGTTTAGCTGAGTCATCGAATGCTATTATTATATATTATAGATATGTTAAAATCTTTGTTTCTCTTGCTGCATGTAAGTGGTGTATCATTTTGGTGGCGGATTTCTGTGACATCTAGAGCTCTCACATAATTGCTTTCATTAGTACAGTATATTTAATTAATTATAAAGCGAATAACATAACTTTCTGGTCTGTTTTAGCATTCAAATTGCTGATTTTAAAGACTCGTGTCATTTCCCAGATTAAACACGGAACAATATTAGTCATCTAGGATCAATTATTAATTATTAGAAATACACATTATTAATAATATTGGGATTATCTTGCGGCCGGACCCAAGACATGAGCCTTTAAACATTTATGTGAGAGTTCATCATGATGTGCATATCTTTGTACATATGTTATACAACTGCATGTAACAGTGGTGATTTCTTGTGCAAGCGATTTTATGAAGTTCATAATCCGAAAAAGTTTTATTCATAGAAAATGAAGACATTGAAACATTATAAAGCTACTAGTATTTGCATTTATTTGGATCAAATCATCTGTTGAAATCTTACAATATGATGGATACAAACTGATGGTGAAGATAATATTCCATCCGCTTTGAATCCACAAATAGCAACAAAAGGGCTCATCATGCGTGCAGTTGATATTATCACATTACTATCTTTAGTTTTCATCATTATATCTTTCTGTCTGCTTTATTTTCCATTATTTGCTTTATTCCTTTGTCTTTAAAGTAATAAATTATCCTGTGTTTTTTTGTCAATTCTGTATATTTAGATTGTGTTCCTTTCTTCAGTTTCTCCTGTCTT